AAAAATTAACAAATAGAAATTTTTGTAAAATCTTCTGTTCCAATTTCCCATTTTCTCATTGCTCATGCTCTCTTCTATGACTCATACCATTCCACTTTTATTGCAATGCCCTATTCTTTTCTCTATTTCTCTAAACCCTCCCACTCTTCCTCTCTATCCGACTATATTATCAGCTGATAAACAGTGTTTCTAATAGGAATAATCCATATTTTTCGAATATCCATCTTCCATATCTCTCTCCTTTTGCCTCGTGCCGCCCATCTCCTCTTATCTTAGGGCGCAATCTCCGCCTTTCGTCTCTATTCATATCCTTTCTGTTCTCAAAATTCAGGTTTCTTGGACAACAAAATCTGTGAAATTCTACAGGAATTGACTCCAAGATGTCTGATCAATCACTGGTTCAACGGGTACCACTGCTCGCGTCGTGCTCACAGGTGAGTCTTTTGATAAAAGGTGGGAAAAGTTAATTTGAAGGGTTACTGTAAGAGATATCAAAAAGTTTTAACTGATAAAATGTTGCTGATATTATGATAAACATTTTATTAGTTGACAAAATTTTGATATATTTTATAGAAACCGAGGTAATTAAGCTCAAAGCGAACGCCGCTACTGAGCTACGCGATTGACAATGCTACCCTTATTTTCGACCTAAATGATCTCGATATCTCCCTTAGGCTTCAATTTTACAAAAAAGTTGTCAACTACTAAAATGAAGCACTAGTTTTGTTTAGTGTATTCTAGGATTTTCAGAAAAATTGAAAAATGATAAAGTAGTTTTGTAGACACCTAACTTTGATAACCCTTTTTCTGCATATCCCCTTTAGGCCCAAATTTCACAAAAAAGTTGTCAACTACAAAAATGAAGTTCTAGTTTTTGTTTAGTATGTTCTGAAACTTTCAAACAAATCGAAAAAGTTTGAGTTGATTTTTCCGGCACATGAAACTCTCGATTTTTGACAGCTGTATTATGGAAAGCTGGAAATTTTAGGTGTAAATTCACAAGGCACAACTAACGAATATAAAAAAGTTTAGATAGAAAATTTTACAAAATAAGAAACAAAATAACAGATTTGATGCCACATTAATCTCTTAGTGTATCAATGTTTAAATTGATTAGCCTTAATTTGCTATCAATCGACATCAATAACAATTGCTGTTTTCAAGATTTCTAGAAGTTTCTGTGATTTCCAAAATTGGGATTTTTCAGAGTTCTGCTATTCTCGGAGAATCTGAATCTTCGAAAACAGAATTTCTGAACTTCAGAATTTCCTAGACTCTTAAAATTTCTGAAAAACTTCAGCTAGCGTATCTAAAAACGCCCAAAAAACACCTGACTATTTTCCGCCGAAAAAAGTTAAAGGAAGACCGGTCGAAACCAATAAATTAGGAAACAATGAGGATCATTTTACAATTTTCAGATGGCCGTTATTTTCGAAAAAAAAAGAAATTAGAGAAAATAAGAAGGGAGAGAATGAGTGATATGGAGAAGAAGAAGGTATTGATGAAGAAGAAGAAGAAGAAGAAGAAGAAGAAGGTCGATTAGGACAAAAAAGAAGAAGAAGAAGAACGAAAAGTCGTTTCGATTATGAGAAGCGATTTTCGGAGAAGAAGAACGCGAGAATGATGATGATTGATAAAAAAAGAATGAGAGAGATTGGAGAGATAGAGAGAAGCAGAGATATCGGCGAGACATTCATATAGTTGCACTTTGAGCTAAATTATCTCGGTTCCTGTAAAAGATACCAAAAATCTATACACTGACAAGAAAGAGTGGTGTTCTCATATGCTATGTACTAGACCATTTTTGACCAACTTCTAAATCTCATCTTTTAATGATTTTTATAGCAATTTGTGGACCGTTAAAAACCCTACCTTTCAATATAAACATTAGTTAAAATTGTTGAGTTTGAAAGAACTTACAGGACACTTGAACTGTGAAAGTTGGCGGAACCTTCTTCGATGAGGTCCTTTAACTTTGACCTAGTTTATCTCGTTTTCTGTGAGAGATATCAAAAATCAGTCAAGTGGTAAAAAATTTTACACAATATCAGCAACATTTCATCAATTGACAGATTTTGAATATTTATTATAGGAACCGAGAAAATTGAGCTTAAAGATCTTTGTACCGGCGGCGCCGCTGGTTGCGTCACCGCCATGCTTGCAAACTTTTAGCTTGATTAGATATATCAGCTCTGATAAGAGATTTCAAAAATCTGTCAACTGATAAAATGTTGCTGATATGAGAATATTTTATCAGTTGACAAATGTTTGATATCTCTCATATTAACCGAGATAATTGAGCTAAAAGTGTGCAAGTTGTACTGTTCCAGAGCATTTACCCCAGAATTCCGCACATTTTCAACGACGCTTAACAAAAGGAGGAGAAATTTCAAAGAAAGGCAAAAAAGACAGACTATTTCATCATCATCAATCGTCTCCATTTCAATCAAATGTGTACCAACTGGCTAGGAAGAACACCTGTATTGATAAGTGCAGAAGAGAAGGGTCAACCATCCGTGTCCTTTCTTTTATGTGTCACTAAAAGAATAAGTCATAAAAATGGTTTGCACTATTTCAGTTTCTCAAAAGAGATCCTATAATTTTGCAGGTGCAGGCGTGCCTTATTTTCCCATAAACTCCAAATAAGGCTCTGTGGGAAGAGCCGCGCCAACTTTGAGCTAGCTTATCTCGGTTCCTATGAAAGATATCTAAAAATGGTCAACTAATAAAATGTTTACCATGTTATCAGCAGCATTTTGTTAGTAAACAACTTTTTCATATTTTTTATAGGAGCTGAGATAAATTGGGTTGAAGTTGATGGGTGCTTTTGTGCATAGATAAAAAGACCCTTTTACTTTGACCTAGTATATTGCAGCTCCTATAAAAGATATCAAAACAAAATGTTTATCATAATATCAGCATCATTTTGTCCATTGACCACTTTTTCATATCTTTTATAGAAAACTAAATAAATTGATTCAAAGCTAGGTACCCTTCTATGGTATTAAATAAATAAAACTTGCTAAATAGAAAAGTTAAGTATACCATACTATTCCCAAACCGTTTTTCCTTTTTTTCTGAATTTTTTTTTGACCTTCTCGCAATTCAAATCAACTTCCAAAACGGGTGTAAAACCTAGCCCATTTGACGGTATTCTTTTTCGCGAAAATTTTCGCGAAAAAGAGAAAGTTATAAATTGATCCAAATTGATCATTGTTTGACTTTGTATAGCAGTTTTTTTGGTATAGAAAATGGCTGCGAATTTCAAATTCTGAAAACAAAACCTGGAAATTTGAATTTGGCGCTGAAATAAATCTTCTTGAAATTCCTAAAAAAAATACGCCTTTACTTTTTTAAGAAGCTTTATTTTTTATAGGGAGTATATAAATACATAATTGACCCATAAAACTTTTTTTTTGGGATTTCAAGTTTCCTTGAAAATTCTAGAATCCGCTTACAGTAAACCTGTAATAGAAGGGCCCCCTAATTTTCAACCTTGAGCCAATTTATCTCGGTTTCTGATAAAGATGTAAAAAATTTGTCAACTGATAAATTGTTTATCATAATATCCTATACATTTTATCAGTTGACACATTTTTGATATCTCTTATAGGAACTGAGATAATTGAGATCAAACTTGACAGTGTGGGGGGGGGGGCCCTTCTATTACAGGTTTTACGGAAAACTGTTTTCTGAAAATCGAAAACTTAAACCTGAATTTCTTGCGGAATTTCTAATATTCAGGATCTTAAAAAAAAACCAATATTCTGGAAAATTTCGATTTCCCAGATTTTTCCAAATGATTTAGGATCATGTGAAAACTTTATTCATTCATTTATACCCGAGTTCAAATCAATACATTATCATTTTAAAAATTCAATTTTGTTCAATTTCCAGACATCTACAACTGCGCTCTAGTGACATTTAGAGCTCTGAGCTTGTCCCAAAGCTCCGCCCGGCGATCCTGATAGTCCTCAGCCATTTCTGAATCTTCTAGATCAATTTTGAAATGACGAAATGGTGTAAACGAGTCGTGTTTCTCCCATTGACCAGAGTCTGAGTCGATTTGACCATTTGGACTTCTGGAAATTTCTTTTTTTTGCTGGAATTTGAAAATTTTGTAATTTTCAGATTTTGTAATTTTCAGAAGAACCTAGCTATAAAAAATTGAATGTCTTGGAAACCCAGAAACTGGGAAAGAATCCAAACTCACCCATATTTCGCGAAATTCGTAAAATACGTCGTCATCACTTCAATCATTTTCTTATCACTCTCATTTGGCTTGAACTTCGAGATGATTCCCTTTCCAAGCACATATCGCATTTCTGTACAATGGGTGGATCCTGAAATTGTGGTCTAAACACGAAAAAAAGAAAGTTTGCCTCCCTCCGGACTCGAATCCCCGTCGCGTGGGCAAACACAGGTGATTCGCGCAGCGTCTATAATAGGTGAAATATTGTTCGCGGAAAATCGCCATGGGTACATCGGAACATGTCTGCCGCAGGCCCTTTACAGACCAATCGCGAAAGCGCCACCGCAAACGACCAATATTCCGCCTATCGCAAGCAAATCTCCTACAATTGGCTTGTCGCGAGAGCAATAATTGGCATGTATTTTTTTGAATCTGGAAGCTAGCAGCTGCTAAAAATTGTTTATTACACAGAAAAAACAAGGAAAAACGAAAAAACAATTACCGTAAAACCTCTAATAGAACGACACCCGGATCGTCTACTTTGAGCCTATATATCTCACTTCTTTTGAAAGATATCAAAAAGTGGTTAACTAGTAAAATATTTATCAGGATATCAGCAACATTTTACTAGTTAGGCACTTTTTGATATCTTTCACAGAAAATGAGATATATAGGCTCAAAGTGGATGATCCGGGTGTCGTTCTATTAGAGGTTTTACGGTAATTAAAAGTTATATTATTCTCTTCCGCTGTCATCGTATTGGCTGGAACGGCGTCGAAGCTTCTACTTCTATCAGCTTTTGTCTTTTTCGATGACGGTCCAAGTGGGGGAGGAGAAGACGCTGTAGAATCTCGGTTAGCAAACTGAAATGATTTTTCGAAATTTTAAGCTCCCACTAATTTTTGTACTATACCTCTGACAGAAGGTATCGGCTGGAAATTTTCTCGAAATCTGCGAATTTGACACTTCCGACTGAAATCTAAAGTTTTTCTCAGATTTTTTTCAAATCTACCCACCTTTCCAGTTTTTCTCCCTTCCTCTTTCTCAGTCGTTTCTTTTCCGGAGTACTCAGTGGACGTACCAGAAAATTGAGAATTTCCTGGCTACCTGTAAAAATTGGATTTGAAATTAACACTTTCTGAACGCTTCTTACCTTTTGAACGTACAGTAGCAGTGCTACCTCCTGAATAAACCAAAATTTCGACTTCTAGCTTCCGACATTTGTCTCCTGGCCATTTTTCCAATTTTTCTGCAAATAAAAAGCAAAATACTGGCTGAGACAGTATTCTAGTATGCTCTTGTAGGTTAAATAATAATTTACGGACAAAAATTGCGAAGGAAACTGAAAAAAAAAACGATGGAAAATAATCAAAATAGGTGAAAGAACTTCGAAAAAGGAAAAACAAGAATTGTTTCGCGATTGGTCAATTGTGGGCCTTTTATAGGGTCAGTTAGTAAGATACGCAATGTGCTCGTGAATGTCAATTGTAGAAGCACTAGTTTGCGGTAGGTGAGTAATTGGGTCGTTTATAGCTCTTCATCTGTAATTGGTCAATCACGAATCACCTGTGAAAGCGCAGCGCACTAGCCACTACACCACGGCACCATTCAGAGAGAGCGTAGCGATGGCGTATACAACACGCGGCTTTTTCCTCCCCGTTTCGTACTCGCTGCCGAGTCCAAGTATACAGAATTTCGAAAATAAAAACTCACCTAAAAACGGAAGTAACCATCTGAAAATGCCAAATCCTCCTGGGTTATGATACTCGAATTGATAGAAATAAACATCATGATCCAATTCGGACATTTTGTTTGCAAAGAGATAGGTACCGTAGTTGATTGAATAGTCACCAATGAACTGGAAGTAGTATTAACTTTGATTCAATTTATCTAATTTCCTGTAAGAGATATCAAAAAGTGTTTAACAGATACAATATTGCTGATATTGTGATGAACAATTTCTTAGTTGACAATTTTTTGATAGCTTTCACAGTAAGCGAGATAAACTAGGTCAAAGTTAAAGGACCCTTCAAAAAGTTGTAAACTACAAAAATGTTGCTGATAATATGATAAACATTTTATCAGTTGACACCTTTTTGATATCTATTACAGGAAGCGAGATAATTAGGCTAATATAAGTGTGGTTCAATGGAGCGCTCTTACCTTGACAATTTGCTGAATATTCTTCTCCTGATCCTTCGGATGGACACCTTTGAAATAGAAATTGTAGGCCAGTTCCAGCGCTTCCTCAGAGTTCTCGCCATAATCACATTTTTTGAAAATTCGACTCATGAACTTTTTGATGCCTTCAGGATTTCTAGATAGGGCTCCCAGGGCGACTGGAATTATGAAATTAGGGAGTTATGGAACAAAACTTTCAAAAATTGAATAAAGATTGAAACTCACTAAAAAAGAGCCCCTCATATTTGGTGGTCCCTGTCATCAACTGCATTTTCGGCACCTCTTCTCTCAATTGTGATAGGGGTTTTGGGAAAAAGTCCCCATCGAAATTTGGGACAAAATACAGACTTCCGGCTTGAGAGTGACGGAATCCACGTCGCGGATTGATTCCCATTTCAAGTTTGTATAGAGGTTGATTGTCGATGAAATCCAGAAGACCCTCTGAATCGTCGTCTGAAAGGAAATTTTGGATCAAGCTCTTTGACCTCAATTATCTCATTTCCTACAAGACATATCAAAAAATGGTCAACAGATTAAATGTTACTAATAATGTGACAAACATTTTATTAGTTGGTTACTTTTTAATATCTCTTATAGCAACCGAGATAATTTGAGCTTGAATTGTAGCTAGTGTCTTTGTAGCTCAACTGTGTGGCGGCTTTTGAGTGGCTAAAAGTGTACTTAAAAGGGAATTGTTTTCAGAGGGGCGTTGAGAATTTTCTAAAAATTTCAGTACTGATAGTTTGAGATATCCGCAACACGATGCCAAAAAAATCTAGGTCATAGTATCATCAACAAGCTGAAAATCTTCGTCTGAAAATTTTTGGTCGATTTCGCCCTCTCCCTCACTCCACTACGCCCCTCTCTCCTATACGCACTCCGCGCCAGAGGAAAATATCGGCTGTGTGGTGTTGTGGTAAGTGGTTTTTGTTTTTGTGGTTTTTTGCACTTTCAAAAAAATTTCTCGAAAAATCACTTTTAAAGTGTGGGGGTTCCCCATGATGATTTTTTTCAAAAAAAAATCGAAACATTTTTTTTTGAAATTGTACAAAAATTATTTAAGATAATAGAGAAATGATCAAAAAAAAGTTTCCCGCTTGAAAAAATCCTGGAAAAGGAGTTTTAAAGCTCGAAAAATGCACGTTTTTGGTCAAAATTTAGTTCTGAAAACACTTTGAGAGCCCATATTTTTGTTCCTATTAGGGTTATGACCGAGATATTGCTGAAATCGTATTCAGCATGTTCAAAAGTACCTTTGTACAAATTTTGAGCTAATTCTCAACGCCCCTCTAAAAACACTTCCCTTGTTAGTATTTGTTCAATTGTTTTGAAACTTTTTAAGTATACTAAGCAAAACTAGTGTTTTAATTTTGTAGTTGACAACTTTTTTGTGCAAACGCGCCCTAACGAGATATGCCATGTGGAAGTGCGGCGACCTATAATTCTAGGCGCCGCCGTATGTAGGTGGAAAGCTTCCACGTGGCATATCTCACTAGGGCGCGTTTACACAAAAAAGTGGATAACTACAAAAATGTAGCTCTAGTTTTGTTTAGTATTTTGAAAAAATTTGAATACAATCGGACCAGTGCAAAGTACATTTTTAGCCACTCAATTTTCACACAAAAAGGAAACAGGTTTCAAAAAAAAAATTTTTTTGAGCTCAATCATCTCCGTTCCTGTGAAAGATATCAAAAATTTGTAAATTGATGAAATGTTGCTGATAAAATGAAGCACATTTACTCAGTTTACAGATTATTGACATCTTTCATAGGAGCCGAGAAATATGACTTAAATTGCGCACGGCTCAGTCGCCACCGCTGGTTGCGTTAAAACCATGATTGAACACTTTGAACTCAATTATCTCGCTTCCTAAAAGAGATATCTAAAAGTGATCAACTGATAGAATGTTGCTGATATTATGATAAACATTTTATCATTTATCAACTTTTTGGTATCTTATATAGAAACCAAGACAACTCAAAGAGTACCTAGGCTCACTCACCACTTCCCTGCCATCCCAAAAATCTTGCGAACTCTTTACACAAGTCGCTTGCTGTTTACTGGTCCTTATCGCAAAATCACACTCAGCATTGCCAGCCATCGGAATCGCTCTATTGAACAATCGATTCGAATGGGGACTCAAACACAGAAGGTCCACCGACGCTCCACCGGCACTTTGTCCAAAAATAGTGACATTATCCGGGTCGCCTCGAAAACTAGCAATATGGTCTTGGACCCATTGTAACGCTGCCGTCTGATCCCATAATCCCATGTTGCCGGGGCAAATTGAATCTCCAGTTGTGAAGAATCCAAGGACGCCTAGACGATAGTTGATGGTCACGGCGACTACATTTTTGGTGCATAGGTTTCTGGCAATTGTGGCGCAGCCGTAGTTGCTGGATGAGTGAACTTGGAAACCGCCACCATGGATGAATACCATCACTGGGAAACCGTTGGGCTGGAAAAAAGGGTTATATCTCGATTAGTTGTCTACCATTTCCTCTGAAAGTTGTATTTTCGGATTCAGCGCTTTTGAGCCTTTATATAACAAATAGTGATTTTCAAAAGTTTTAATTTTAGGAGCAATAATCAAAAAACATTGAAATTTCTGTGATTTTGGCCAGAAAATATTGAAACGCTCTTGAATGTAAGAAAATGTAGTAGTAAAATGTAGTAGATCACATTTATTCAGTTTTTGACAATTCATGAAATATTTGGTTTTAAATACAGTATTTTGTTTTTTTTTTCACTGATTTTCTTCGTTTTTAATTTATACTCCCAAAAGATGGACCGTTAAGTTTTTGGGAGGGAATGAATTAACTGGCTCCAAAAGATCTATATATGAAAAACAATTGTTTGGGGCATTGAAAACGAAAAAAAGTGAATCGAATCTTGAAAAAAAGTAATGTAAAACCGATTCAGAGTCTTTACGGTTTTTGATGTAAATGTGAACGGTTTTTTCGTTTCGCAGAAGAATTTAAAATTTATTGTGACTTAACAAAAATTTTTGAAATATTGCCACTTTGTAACGAAAATTAAAACTTTTGAAAATCACTACTTGTTATATGATTATAATTAGTTAACTTACCCACTCATCCGATTCCCATTTCGGTGTGAAGACGTTGAGGCTCAAGCAGTGCTCCTCACTCTTTCCAACGGTGTTCACGAACTGAAAAATTCGAGGTCGATTATCTTGGTTCTTTTAAAAGATATCAAATACTGGTCAACTGATAATATGTTTATCATATTATCTGCAATATTTTTGTAGTTAAAAGATTTTTGATATCTCTTACAGGAAATGAGATAATTGAACTGCCGACCGAGCTGAGCGTGATTCAAGCCGACCAAGCAGCTTTAAGCACATATATCTCAGTTCGCATGAAAGATATCAAAAAGAAGTCAACTGATAATATTTTTTTAGTAATATGAGCAATATTTTTGTAGTTTGCAACTTTCTGATATATTTTATAAGAATTGAGATAAACAGGGCAAAAGTTGGCGGGTCGTTCTACGCACTGGGATAGAAGAGTCCTTCAACCCAATTTATCTGAGTTCCTATGACAGATATCAAAAAATAATCCACTGATAAAATGTTTATCATAATATCAGTAATATTTTATCAGTTGACCATATTTTGATATCTCTTACAGGATAAATTAGGTCTCCTACCTGCCCCAACAGCTCGTCATTTTGCGGAGCCCTCGGTCCAAATTTAGTACACTCCAATGGTTCTTCCCATCTTCTATGAGCAATTGGTTTTTTAAATCTAAGCGCTCCAATCGGTGGCTCAGCATATGGTACACCAAGAAATCCCTCGACAACGGAACCGTCTTCCTGGAAAATGTTTTTTTTCAAAGTGGCTGCAAAAGTACTTTATTCTTTTTTCAATTTTCTGAAAATTTCCGGGTGAACTAAAAAAACTAGAGCTTCATTTTAGTTGAAAACTTTTGAATCGGAAAGTGAATAGACAATATAAACGTTTTTTATTTTCCAATTTTAGACAACATTTGTCTGAAAAGGGCTAAAAACATATGATACATATAACGATTCAAGTTGAAAACTTTTCTGTAAACACTTCATCTGAAAATTGTCTGTTTTTTTTTCTTTTTCTCACTTTTTGTAACAATCGGGTATTTCTTCTTTTTCTGAAATTTACGCTTTCTTTTCTGAAAACTTTTCTGGAACTTGAAAAAATAATTTTCCAGCTTTTTTTCTCCAAAATTTGTATCAATTTCGAGTGGCTAAAAGTGTACTTTGTACTTGTCCAATTGTTTTGAAAGTTTTACAGTATACTAAACAAAACTAG